CACCATCAAATTGGTATTAACTGATCAACACATAAGTGTACATATAAGAATAACATCTATTGTCAGGTGTGGGGGGGGAGGGGACGGGTATTTGTATACACAGAGTGTGACGTGCACCATCCGAGGGATGGACACGCTTGAAACTCAGACTTGGGGGGGTTGGCAAGGGCAACATATGTAACCTAAATATCTGTACCCCCATAATATGCTGAAATAAAAAAAAAAACTCTTAAAAGGTGTATAATTTTACCCTGCAGAAGGCACATCATTGCTCCAGAGCACTAGGGGCTTGCATTCTGATTCTTCCCACTGACACCTCCAACACCGTAGAGTCTGCCAGATCATATGTCCAAAGCAGTAGGGTTTTCTTATTCTGCAGCCCATGGATGCTACAGAGCCCTTTCCCACTCCACACCCACTCAGACCTGTGAGACTTCCATGTTGTTCAGTGCATGGGCCAGAGCAATATTCCTAAATGTGAAATGTGTTACCTCCAGAACTCAAAGAGGCCTAGCAGGTGTCTTGCTTCCTTTACTGAGGTAGGGAATGTAAGACGTAGCAATTTATCTTTTACTTGGATATGGGGTGGGGGTGGTATTCCAGCGGCCCCTCACTACTGAACCACTGAAAACTTGACTGATGTGGCATGTTCCTGTATTTTCACAGGGCTTATCGCCCACCTTCCAGAGTGCATGTGTCTTACCAAGGCCTCTAATGTACTAGACACCTCTTGCTTGTCCTTCTTAATGATGTGGTTAATGTAAATGGATCAGTGTGATACTCTGCAGAATGTCCAGATGGCCCAGGTTTCTTCAGACTTTATTATGACAGGTATTAGGAGAGTTAACACAGCCCTGAACATAACAGAAAATGAATATCATTGTCTGTTTTGTGTGAATGCAAACTCTTCCTTATCTTCTTTTCTGGTCATATTAGAAAAGAACACTCTTGCCAGATCAATATCTGCATACCCCATACCTAAGGCCTCATTAATCTGCTCTAGCAAAGATGCTATGCCTGGTACTGCTGCTACAATCAGGACTGCTACTTATTTGAGCTTGTGGCAGTCTACAGTCATTCTCCAGAATCCATCTGGTTTCTTCAGGGACCAAACCAGTGACTTGAGGACTTCCACTTGGCCTTTCCTACTATAATTGGAAAACCATATGGGGTTACTCCAACTGCCACATATATCAATCCCAATTAAACACTTGGGGACTGAAAGAATGACCAGGAGGGGTGGCAGACCCAGTGGACCATTTCACTATGGCCAAGATTCCACTTATTACCTGGCCCCATGAGATTCCACACTAACAGTGGGGCCATAATGACACTTCAGGTATCTGAGTTTCATGTCAGTTCAGACCTTATGCCTAATAGCCCTTAAAATGTCTAGATAGTCCCCGTTCCCCAGTGTACAGTCACCCAAACAACAGCCATAGGTCCCTTTGAGGAAGGGCTTGGGGAATCATTGCAGTACATACTTGCCATTGTGTTGCAAGATCTGCCTTATAACTACTTCTCCCATTGTCCTTCCTGGGCTGCAGATGGAAGCCACCACTGGGCTTCTTGGGGATGCTGGTGTCCCTCTCACCAGAGCATCCCTGGTGGTTTTGACGAATAACATGCCTGCTGAGGCCTCCCATGGAAAATAATTCTTTCATGGGTCTTCTGGCTTCACAAAGTATATCCACTGCAGCAAGCCCTCTTCCTTCAGCCTTTGTATTCTCCTCTCTACTGTCTACCAGAGCAACCCAAGCATTTCCATTTTGCTTAGGAAGGATCATCACTTTCTCGAGGCTTCCAAGAGCTACCCCAGCAGTGAATTTGCCCTGACTCGGGTGTCCTTTATGGAGTGTTACATCCCTTTTCCCCAAAAGGTGACCCCAAGTCAATGAATTCTTGCTTATTTGGTCTTATGTTCCAGTCCTATAGATCAATCAGCAGAGAATCCCTGCAGCACTGTTTTGAGAAAGATTCTGGAACATATCAATTATTAGTGACATCTGTCACAGAGGGGTGAGAGGGAGCTTCTAGACACGTTTTACCATTTCCGCTGTAGACATCTGTACAACTTGTACAGGCTATAACTATGGCGTTGAGTACAGATGGTATACTCACAGAACAAAGTTCTGACCTTGGCCTTAGTTCCTCCGTAGTTTATCCAACTATGTTAATTAAATTAATACCTCATGTACTTGATTTTTTCCAAGGGCAGATGTTGAAAGGGGAAAGGAGAAGAAAGTAGAGAAACCTGGGGGGAGGGGTACTGAGTAGCGGGGGAGGGAGATAATAAGAGATCCAAGCTGTAAAATAATGGTACAGAAAGGGGAATTTTGAGGGCTTTTCCAAAGGAAAAGATATTGCCTTTCTCAATTTTGCTCTCTTTTGATTCTCACACAATGCTTGCTTTAGTACAGATACAGATCTCCTTAAAACGCTCCTTCCGTGACTTAAAAGGTCAACTATAAGATTAGTGTGATTATTCTCTAGTCATTACTGAAATTCTTCCTGGGTGGGTACATCTAAGTGGTAACAAGCTGCAATAATAAAAGTCAAAGAACTCCTGTGTTGCCTTGCTTTTCCTCAGTGGCCATCTGATAAAGAAGAAGAAAAATCTCCTCAGGAATCCATTTCTATTGTAGCATAGCTGCAAATTTGAAAAAGACTGAATTTAAGCACTTATGTGTTTCTGTTAGACTCTTTCACCGGACTGGTCAACATCCTGACAGATATTATTTGGCGATTCACTGGAGACTTCATGGCACCTGACCTGGTTTGCCGAGTGGTCCGCTATTTGCAGGTATGTAGCACCTTCCGAATGTAATGAACAAACTGACACCAAAGTTATCTTTTGGATTCATCATAACAAATATAATAAAAAACCCAGCACTGCTATGAAACAACTTCCTACTTTCTCTTGGGTGAAAGAACAAGCAAAATTTGAAAGATTTTTTTAATGTACTTTTTTGCTAAAAAATAAATCATATGTAAAGAAAACATAAATAAGCAATAATAAAAAACAAAGCATTCATATTTCAAACATTAAATAAAATGTCTGGGTCAATATTAAGGTTTTTGACATATTGTGGATAAATAATCTCCATAAAATTTGCCAATTATATTTACCTTTTATCCCTCAAACTGAACTGGCTACTGTTCTTTTTTAGAAAAATGTGAGGAATTTGTTAGAGAGTACTATATATTTAATTACCACCAAAATTGCAGTATTATATATTTAATTACCTCTCTAAATTGCCTGTTATGCTTTTTGAATTTTTTATAACTGGGATACTTATTATTTTCTGAGTTTTGCAAAGATCTATTTTTAGATTAAAAATATGCACACCCTGCCTGTCAATATTGTTCATTATAAGTCACATACATGTACCATATGTATATTTTATTTAAAATGTTACATATATACCACATACATGTATTATTAATACATAATATATGTATAATATAGACTAAGACACTTTAACTAAGAATGGAAAAAAATGGACCATTTCATAAGTGGTGTTGGAGTTGATATACTCTGTTTCTGAATTGATGTACACTGTTTCTTAAAATTATTTTTCATTAATATATTTTTATTCTGATGCCAGTGCTTCAGATCTAAATTATTGTAGCTTTACAGATCTATAATGCATTTTCAGGAAGTCTTACCCTGCTAGATTCCATTTGTCAGTAGGATTTTTTAGGATCTTTGCATCTATATTCATAAGTAAGACTGTGATTTTTCATTTACTTTATCATTTTCAAATCTTGGTGATGGAATTATTCCATCTTTAGAAAATGAATAGGGAATAGTTACAATTACAATCTCCTTTTGTGCTCTGAATATAATCTTGAAAGTTTGAAAGGTGTGAAAGGTCTCCTATCACTATATGGGGCTAATATTTTCTCAGGAGTAATTTTTCAAACCATATTTTAGTTTCTTCTTGAGAACTTTTCAATTGTCTACATATTAGTGATCAATTACTAAGATACAAATTATGATAAGACTTAGTGGCTTAAAACAAACATTTATTATCTCACAGTTTCTATTAATCAAGAATTCAGAAACAACTTGTCTGGACAGATCTGGATAAAGCTTTATCATAAGATTCGCTCAGGTATTTCGTGGTCCTACAGCCATCAGAAAGCCTGACAGAGGTGAGACAAAATTCACTTCCAAGGTGGATCCCTCACATAGCTGGCAAGTTAGTGCTGGTTTTGGCAATATACTCACTTCTTCTGCACATGAGCTTCTCCATAGGGATTCTTTAGTGTCCTCACAACTCAGAAGCTTGCTTTTCCAAGAAGAAGCCATCCAAGTGACCAAGGAGGAAGTGACAATGTATTTATGAACTAGTCTCAGAAGTTATACACCATCACCTCACATTATTCTTTTGGTCACAGAAGTCAACCCTGATTCAGTATGGGGAGAAGGGAACCAAGAAACACGAGGAGGCAAGGACTCCTAGGGACAGGTTGGAGGTTGGCAACCACACATACCTTCACATTTTTTGAAATCATGTAATAAGCTATGTTTTTTTCTGTTAACTTAAAAATACCTGCTTGATTTAGAAATATTCAACTCAGTACCATGTCTTCTAACTGTATTTACAATGAATATTAAGATAACACTATACATAAAATATATCTTCATGATAAAGCAAAAATGTCAGAGAAAGAAACTTTGATAATTCTCTTTTCTGTAAAAGCAGCAAGAAAACTGGCAAAAATTGTCAGAATCAAATTTTTTTTCAGGACTCTAGAAATTAACCAAAGGCTTACAGGGAGCATTTATTCAAGAAAATGGCTAAAGCTCAGTAAGAAAAATGAGATGTATGGTATTTTAGCTTGCATTATTCTCATCCCCCAGCATCTAGCTCTGTGGTAGCCTTGAAAATTAACAGCTCTCGTTCATGGTTAAAACAAAGAGTCTGGCAGCTATGGGAGAAAGAAAAACAGGACTAGAGCTCTTTCAAAGCCTCATTCCCAAGAAATTCCCATTATTTGACATGTCTGACAGTTCTCTGAAAGACCCCACTTGCAAGGCTGTCTGTAGTTCACTTAATTTAGAACTCACCCACTGTGAAAAACTCTTTTTCTCTGTTTATTTGTCAAAAACAATTACAGACAATTGATTAACTTCACAGATGCCTGTGGTATTAGATAATAGTTGGGGAAAACAATAGACTAACCAAAGCTTAAAAACATAAGCTGTGTAAAAAGATATTCATAAGGGCTTTGAAAATTTTTGACATATTCCTGAGAACATAGAAGACCAAGTACATTCCCAGAACAGTGCTCATATTCAGGAAGAAATAGAGAAAGCCCTGAGATGTTACCTTTGACTGACCTCAAAGCTTTGTGCAAGCAGGAAGTGAAAGCAAAGGCAGAACAGTCAGCTTCCTGGCTGAGTGTCAAAATCATGCCCCAACATTCACACAGAGCCACTCTTCGATGACTGGAGGGCATATGAGTTCCAGGAATTTAAGAAAATATCTGTTTAGCAGACATTAACAATGGCAGAGTAGCAGATTGTCAACACAAAATAAGTGACTGAGGCAAAAACCTCAATCAATGAGGTCTATTAACACAAAGTTGAGGATGCACCTGGGAAAAACAAAAATGACAGATAAATCTGTGGCCATTTTTCTGAAGGGGAATTTGGGAGTTTCAGCATTTAAAGGCATACAGAAAGAAAAGAAAAGGCAGGGCAGACTAGTGAGACAAAATGGTTACATACTTGTAAGACCCAGGAAAATCTATGTTTTATATATGATAAGGTGAATGTTAGAGCAGAAAAAGGGAGTGAAGGAAGCACCAATTATGTAGATGTCCCTGGGTAGGTAGAAGAATGTCTGATCCTGTCTTGTCTCTGTCCTGTACCTATGAAAATAAACTTATAATTTATTATTAGAGTGGAATTGGAACTGACAGTAGTTGTACGAGCTAGACATAACCTGCAGACCTAAAGTTACAGTTTGCATGTCCTGCTTATGGGAGGCCAGCAAGGAATTTCCTTAAAGAATGATCTGTGGGTTGGGGAAAAAAATGGAGGACTGGAAGCAGCTTGCCACCACACTGCTCCCAAGGAAAGAAGTGGAAGGTACAGGCAGGTGCGCACATATGGATCACTCTTCTCTGAAGCAGCATTGTGAAATCACAGAGAAGCATCATGGAACACCCAGGCTCCAACCTGAGAGGATTTGGGTGACCACTTTGTCAGGTCCTGGGTGAGGAGTGGAGAACTCGGTGGTGCTTGGCCCACCAGAACTGACATCTTCCCACCTGACTTGGCCCCCACAGGGCCCCTCAACCTACAGAGCAGCATACAATTTGCTCAGCCTCAACTCCCCTCCAAAGGCCCCAACTGCCTCCTGCCTGGTTGGCCCTGACCCTGCCCTCCAGGTTGAATCATCCCTGCTGTCCACACGGACCTGCTTCTGCCTCCTCAGCTCTGCTTAGAAGCTCTACTTCTGGCTCCTCCCCAGTCCTGGCTTTGAGGCTTTCATACCAGAGCCCAAGCCTCTGCCTCTGTGCCTCCAGAACCCCCTCCAGGCCTGAGAAATAATCCACAAGTTTCCACACTGCACCTGAACCTCAAGACCACATCCCAGAGCCTCCACCACCACAGCAGGGCCAGAAGAACTGCTCCAAAATCCAATGCCCCATCAGGCCTCAAGCTGCCAGTACACTGCAACCTGATTTGAGCAAATGCACACAGCTTGAGAACCCATGAAAAGCACATACAGCTGCTGCTGTTACCTCTGTGGAGAAATCCTCAGTAGAGCAATCCCCACAATACCAGCCTCAGTGAAGAGGATCTCACCCAGCTCCCAAATCAAATATCCTACAACTATCTGGTGAACAACCCAACACCCAACCCAAGCAGCATTCAGCACAGGCTCCAGCAGAGGCAATCCCAGGTAAACAGAACAAATCATAAGAGCTGTATTACAGGCTTCTAGTGCATATGCACCTCCTTTGCCACATCAATGGCATTCCAGAGTGGAGGGGGGTGGAAGAGCACTATCTAGTAATGTCCCCTTACCCTAATCAAGCAGGGGAGTTTCCAGCAGGGAACAGAAGCCCTGCAAAGCTATTAGCCATGAGTTGAGCAAAGAGGACTCAGATGAAAAGAAACCAGCAAAACAACCCTGGCAATATGAAAAATCAAAAGATCACCACTCCCAAGGAATTGCAGTGGAGCTACATCAGTGAACTCCAACTACAAGGAAACTGTCAAAATGACATAAATGGAATTCAGAATATGGATGGCAAATAAGATGAATGGAATTGAAGAGAAAGTTGAACACCAACCAAAAGAAGCCCAAAAAATATTTCAGGAAATTAATGAAAAAGTCACTAAAAACTAGACAAAATGAAGAAAAATATAATAGAATTTAAAGAAATGAAAGAGTCATGCAGGGATTTTCAAAACACAGCAGAAAGTCTAAGCAACAGATTAAACCAAGGAAAAGAAAACATCTCAGACCTTGAAGATAAGGCTCTCGAGCTAACCCAATCATTTAAAGAGGCAGAGAAGAGAACAAAGGCAGAGAAATCACTTAGAGAAATATGGAACTATGTGAAGCAAACAAACATATGTATTATAGGTACACCTGAGGGAGGAGAAGAAAGTGCTAAAAGCATGTAAAATCTATTTAAAGGAATTATTCTAAACTTCATACAGAAACACAAAAGGTCCTGAATAGCCTAAACAATCTTAAACAAAAACAAACAAAAATACCAAAGCTAGAGGGATCACACTACCTTGACTTCAAAATATACTACAAAACTATAGTA